TATTTTCTTTTTCTTTTATAATTCTTTTTGAATATTTTCAAGCGATATGTGTCCTCTGCACATTCTAAATCCTGAATGACTGACTACTCAAATATATATGAAAAATCCAGACAGTTTTATTTTCAAGGTTCTGGTGTTTTTATGGAAGCTACAGGTAGGAGGAAAACACTTATTTCTCTTTCTCCCTGAAAGGATAATAAGTTCAATTTAATTAATTAGTTAATAGTACAAATACTATTGTTTCTCTTTGCTGTCTGGAGTGTACAGTAGCCAAGGAACACCATATAACAATGTCAGATAGAGTCTTACCAGATATGAAAGATTCAGTTCTTTGCTTTTCCTTTGCCTCTTTATATTCTAGACAGAATCATTCATTTTTTTTTAAAGTTTTTTTACTTACTCATGAGAGACGCAGGGAGGGGCAAAAACACAGGTACAGGGAGAAGCCACTCAGGCATCCCTAGACTGAATCACTCTTTAATGAAGAACTTCAAATAATTTAGGTCTTTAGAAATAAACATTTATATTTCTCCAGGACACACTTCTGTTCTATCAAACTCTGCTTCATATGGGAAAAGTGGGGGGAGGGTAGGCTCAGTCTCTGGGAGACCTTGAGAAGTAAAGCATTCAAATAGTGATTTTGGCATAAGAACCACAGTGGAGGATCTGTTTCTCCACAGTTTTAAGAGTTTAGGGGAAAAAATCTTAACTTGGAAGTGGGTTTTTTTTTTTTAAAGATTTTATTTATTTATTTATTTATTTATTTATTTATTTATTTATTTATTTATTTATTTATTTATTTATTTATTTGTGAGAGACCCAGAGAGAGAGAGAGAGAGACAGAGGGAGAAGGAGGCTCCACGCAGGGAGCCCCATGCGGAACTCGATCCCGGGACCCCGGGGTCACGCCCTGGGCAGAAGGCGGCGGTATACCGCTGCGCCACCCGGGCTGACCCTAAAAGTGGTTTTTAACTTTTGAATTTAGTCTAGGATTGGAAATACATTAGATACTTGTTTTTAGGCTACAGAAACTAATTGTAGCTGACTAAAACGCAAAAAAGTAGGTATATATCATTAGAAGCTCATGGAATCTAAGGGAGAACCAAATTATCAGATTGTCAGTACTTGCTCACAAGTTTAAGGGTTGAAACAAATTTACTTTTGCCACAAAAAACTACTCAGAATAATTTTGTAGAAAAATTGGAAAGTAAAAATTAATCATTATCTCCTAGATAGTAAAACAAAAGATGAAAAAGAAAAACCTGATAGTTATATTAATATTTCTGAGTAAAATTAAACACTTACTGAAAATAGCCATTTGTAGTGGTTTGAATTTGCTTAAGCTCTTTAGGGCGTTAGGTTTTCTGACCAAATCTATCAACGTTTTTCTAGGTTTTTTTTTTGTTTGTTTGTTTGTTTTTTTACTTTTTTCTTTTATGCTGAGAATGACTTTCCCTCTTTAAATATTATAGAATATATGTAAATATTGTAAATATGTTTTTGATTCAGCAGATTTGTTTTTCTTTTTCTTGTCCAGTACTCTCTTTAGTAACGGTGGCTCACTAGGCGGTAGTTGTTACCAGTTGTAAGGAGGTATGATTTAGCACTACCCCTGCCAGGTTATTCTGATACTTAATGTCTTAGATTTGATTGCTATATAACAAAGCACTATGGATTGGAGGGCTTAAACAACAGATATGTATTTCTCATAATTTGAGAGGCTGAGAAGTCTAAGGTTAAGGTGTAAGCAGATTCAGCTCCTGGTGAGGACCATCTTCTTGACTTGTAGACAGCCACATTCTCGCTTTGTCGTCACATGGTAGAGAGCTTGTATCTCTTCCTTTTCTTATATAAACGCTAATGTCACTGTGGGGGCTCTACTTCCTGACCTCATATAAACCTGATTACTATACTAGGGCTCCGTCTATAGATATTATTACTCAGAGACTAGGGCTGCAATGTAAAAATTTTGGAAAGTGCAAATACTCAGTCCATAATACCTTATCCTGTTTCCTCTCCACTTTTATCTGAGGAGGATATAATTCTGTTTATTTTTATTTTTAATTTGCTTTTGTTATGAACATTACTTATTATAAGTGATTTTGACATCAAAGAGGAATACAACATTTTAAAAACTCGAAGTTCTTTCTTTAATCCTCATTATCCCATTTTCTTGGAGTAATTAATGTTATCTGCTAGAATATATAAAGTTATTGTCAGTATATGTGCAGGCACGTGTGACTTTTTTACATTTTGATCTTCAGTCTGTGTGTGTGTGTGTGTGTGTGTAGCAGGGATCTATTTCTAATTATTTAATAACTCTTGCTCTTTAAGCATCTTAACTAATTCAGTATTTCCCCACTCATACAAAATACTTTGTTATATATCAGTAATAACATACACATATGTTGATCAGTTTGTGTACTTTAAATTGTTTTTGGATACTAATAGTAAGCTTTTTATTATTTTTACTTTAGCATTTCCCCTCTTTCCAACTGGGCCATTGATGTTTTTGAACTGTTTCTTAGCTGTTGTCCCTAGTCTAGTTTCAAGAATTTTTTTTATACAGTTTTCACTGCAGTTGCATTGAATTTGTGTGTTATGGGGAGATATGATGTCTAGATAGTATTTTATTTTAGGAACGTGACATATCTTACATTTATTCAAGTCAGTTGCTCATGTTTACAGTTTTATTACAACTTTTTTCATGGGTATTTGAAATATTAATGTTTTGCAAATATTGTATTTTATATAGTAAGGTTGTAAAGGTTATCATCTATCATAACATAACAGGTTGATTGTATATTTTGGGTATACTTTGCATGTTTGTTATGCACCCATATTTGCTCTAATAGAACTTTACTTGTCTTTAGATTTTTCAGGTAATAGGGTTTTCAGATAATAATTCTGTCTGTTCCTTTGTAATGCTTTTCCTTTTTCCTTCCTTCCTTCCTTCCTTCCTTCCTTCCTTCCTTCCTTCCTTCCTTCCTTCCTTCCTCCCTTCCCTCCCTTCCTTCCTCCCTTCCCTCCCTTCCCTCCCTTCCCTCCCTTCCCTCCCTTCCCTCCCTCCCTGTGCTGGAATTTCCATTGTTAGTTGAACAGTGATAATGATACTGTACCATTTTGTCTTGATCTTTTTTTAATAGCAGTACCTCTTTTTTCTAGTTTAGTGTGATGATGGCCACTGATTTGAGAAGAATCCACTTTATTATTAGGAATCCTTCTTTTCTCCATTAGATATTTTTAAAAAAATCAGATGATGAATGCTAAGTTTTAGTAAATGCCTTTTCAGCATTGAATGGGAAAGTCAGTGTGACCTTTCAGTGTGATAAATAGTTTAAAAATATCCTTATATTCTTGGAATATTCTACTTGGTCATTGTGTTTTTTAAAACACAAAGCTGGGTATTCATAATATATGAAAATTTTAATATTCATAAATTCTTTTATTTGCATGTTTTCTGATTAATACTAGACTTATGGTAGCTTGCTAAGATACATTACAATATTATAATATGTAATACTGTAATATGTAATCCATTATATGTTTTGGATTAATTTTAAAAGTTTGGTAATTATCTACTCTTGAAAGTATAATAGAGCACAATGGTAAATTTTGAGAACTTGATACCTTTTTAGGGCAATGGTTAATAAAACCCTTTTTTCTTCTGTAACTGTTTAGTTAGTGTGAATTGTCTGTCCTTTTTTTGGAATACATCTTCACTCATCTCTTGTTTGTTTACTATTTCTTAAATTCATTTTTGATTTAAATGGCACAGTTTTCCTATTTATTTATATTTTATTTATCATTTATGGTTTTTTTCTCCCAAAAAGGGCTCATAGAAATAATACTTTGTGAAGTTTTGTTGTAGTTTAGAACTGCTTGAACATGTTTAAACACATCATTTTTGGTTATTTTTTAAGTGATCTCTGCTACATTTTTGTATTTATTTAAAAATATAAATAGACATAACTTCAAAATTTAAAGATATTATTCATACAATGTATTGTTTATACAGTTTTTGTATTTGAGCGTTATATTGGTTTACTTCTGAATTTGAATATTTGTCAGGAGACATGAGTCATAAACTTTCCAAGGGCTTCTATTTTATGTTCTAATATATTTGTCAATGAGCAGCATCTTTGCCTGACTCTAGTATTCATAAATGTTAGTCTTAATTATTCTTAAAATAATTTAGATTTGGCTCATTGCTTTCAGGAAGGAAGTCAGTAATACACGGGAGAAGTTTGATATCATTTGATTTTAACTTTTGCTCGTGGAATCTTTTTTCTTCATCCACAAAATAGAAAAAAATTGATTTCACATTTACATAAATTTTAAAGAAATTAATGCCTTCTGGTAGTTGGTCTATCTTAAATCGAGTTTTTTATAGAGATTTTTGATAGAAGAGCCTTCTAGGAGAAGATACTTTGGTATTATATTTGGTTTGACAGATCCTGCATGTATTAGCTATCTATTGCTAATAAGTTACCCTAAAACTTAGTAGCTTTAAAACAACATGCATATTATCTCTCTTTATGTCAGGAATTCATGCATGATTCAGCTGGGTTCTTTGCTTAAGAGTCTTTCACAAGACTGCAGTCAAGGTGTCAGTTAGGGCTGGGATCTCATCTGGAGGCTTGACTGGGGAATGATCTTCCAAGCTTAGTCTTGGCCCAATCTAGTGCTTTTTCCACTGCGGCACATACCGGCAGGTATTTGATTTATTTGAGTGTCACTCTTTGGGTCTAACATTCAGGCCATGAACATCTTCCTCTTTTGAGTCCTTTCTGTTATTTAGTCATAAGTGTGTGTGTGTGCGTGTGCGTGCGTGTTGTGTGTGTGTCTGTGTGTACTTGCACCTATAGAAGGGCAAGTGGGAGGGACAGAGGGAGACAAGAATGGAGGAAGAATGTATGTTAGTATTAACATTTAGTATAATTTTTTATAATTAGTATAATCATTTTTTCTTATTTTAAGAACTATTTTTTCCCCCATAGGTGCCTTAGCTGGGCCAATTATTGTGGAGCCACATGTCACAGCAGTATGGGGAAAGAATGTTTCATTGAAGTGTTTAATTGAAGTAAATGAAACTATAACACAAATTTCATGGGAGAAGATCCATGGCAAAAGTTCACAGACTGTTGCAGTTCATCATCCTCAGTATGGATTCTCTGTTCAAGGAGAATATCAGGGAAGAGTTTTGTTTAAAAACTATTCACTTAATGATGCGACAATTACTCTGCATAACATAGGATTCTCTGATTCTGGAAAATACATATGCAAAGCTGTTACATTCCCGCTTGGAAATGCTCAGTCCTCTACAACCGTAACTGTATTAGGTAGGTATGACTGAATTGCTTATTTTGGTGGTAGTCGCAAGGGTTATAATAAAAGTATTTGTAAGAATTTAAAATGATTGACTATATATATGTAAACTTAGATTTGAAATGATTCAAATGTGATTTTTCAAGTTCTGTCTTAAAATTCTGATTCTAGGTGTTCTCAACTTGAACAAACTTTTGTATCTGCCTATCTATGTATGTAATGCTATGTGGCTCTTAGCTTTTTTACTTTCTTCATAAAGGTTACTTTTTGTTTATAATATTAAGTGCTGAGTGTTTCTGACATTTTCAATATTCTCTCTTAAAATTTCAGACTTTAAATTTCCACCTTTCAATAAGTTTTTCTGTATACTTAAATGACTTTTATCTTAGAGCCATTGGTATACTTCATGTTTGTTTCTGAAATCACATTTTATTTCTGCTACTGTGGATTTCATAGCTATTTGAATCTTGGGCTATTCCTCTAATGAACAGTCTTCTGTTTTCTCATATCTGGTAAATGTTAGAATTTATGTTGGAATTTAAAATGAGCTTATTAGCATGAAGATAGCCACTTGCAGTGAAAGGTTCCCCAATTTGAAAATATTGGTTTGTACTTTTAGAATAATAGAATAAGGATTAAGGAGTAATAGCAACCATAGCCATTTCCACCCAAAGTAGGACTCCTTTAATGGGCAGTCTTTGCTCCACCACTACCTGTTTGTCTTTTGGGGACTTAGTAGAATCTGCTCCCCTCTCCTCAATCCTCCTTCTTCACTTTCCTTCTGGGTTTTACACCCCAGTAAAAAGCCCTTGTACTCCTCACTTGGTCTTAGTGTCTGCTTCCTGAAGAGCAAACAAGTACACAGCCCCTAATATTTAAAGGCATAATTTCAGGGTGTCTGACATGCAGGAAAGCTATTTTGTCCAGCTCTGTCAGGTATTTTTTCATATTGAGAGTTACTACTTAAAAATAGAAATAAAATTGAATATTTGAGGACTTTATATGTTTAAGACACTGCCCGAACAGCTATGGGGAAATATAACTCATGTTTATGAAATCAATACTTTTGAGAAATATTTTGATTAGAAGGCAAGGCATAAAATAAATATCTGAAAAATGAAGTGCAGGCCATCAGCATAAAAAAAGTAACAAAGTTCATTGGCTAGAAAATAATTCTTTGTGGAAGAGGGAGCCCTTAGGAATAAAGGGTTTTTTGCTTTAAATTTTATTAATTTCCCCTAATTTAAGACAATACTCAGTGGTTTAAAACTCAAGGCTGTTTATGGTATAAGACTAGTCTTGATTTTACCATGCCTACGTCTCTGGCTTCATCTATTCTGTCTCTTGCTCCACTTTTCCTAACGACACAAATTTAATAATCGTAATAAACTATTTGCAGTTCTGGTAATACCTGTTTATGTTCTACATGTGTTTTTCTTTCTTCTTGGATTGCTCTCTTTCTCCTGGCTCTCTCTTCTGACATTCTTGTATTTAACTGCTATTCATCAAACCACATCCTTTTATAAGCCATCGCTGAAATATATATCTCCTTGCAATTTGATTTTTTTTTTTTGGCTCTTTTGCCATTATATCTTGAGCTTATCTATTGCAGCAGTTACTGTTTAGTGTGTGTTTTCTCCTTTATAAACACATGGTAGACTGCAAACTCTGTACTCTAAAATTTAACTTTATCTCTAAACCCCTTTACAAGAGTTCCTAGTTACATAGCAGTGATACACCATTTAAGTGTTATTTAAGTAGGTTGTAAGAATGGATAGATTTAACTTCTAGTCTACAAATGTTGTATAGAAAAAATAGTTGAGCCAGTCCTTGAATTTTGGGTAGATTTTGGGTAAGCAGAAGGGAAATAAGTAAAGGGAGAACAAATGAGCCAGTGGAGGGAGGCAGAAAACAACATACATTTGGGTGGAGTGGTTTTTAGTGTCAGTATTGTTGCCATTTTAGGCTGGAATTCTTTGTTGTAGTGAGCTGTCCTGTCCATTGTAGACTGTTTGGCAGCATCCATGACTTCTCCCCACTAGGTGCTTGTAGCAGTCTTTCAGTTAACAATTTAGAATGTCTCCAGACATTGCCACTTGTCCTCTGGGAGAGGAGGGGAGAGATCTCTCATTGTTGAGAACCCTCAATAGTGGAATCACTGAATAATTAGTTGATCAGAGAACTTATATGAAATACAAGAATTAAAGGCTAGGAAGGTTGAGTAGGACTGCATTAAAATAAATTGACTATTATGATGGGGAATTTGAGCATTGTGTTACTAGAAATGCCAAGTTGGCATAAGGTGATGTGTGTACTTCTTGACTCCCTTCTTCTAACCCTCAGACCTTTGCTGTGTAAAGTGGTTCCTGAACCAGCAGCATTGGCATCATTTGGGAGTTTATTTAGAAATACAGAATTTTAGGCCCCTCCCAGACTTACTGAATTTAGATAAGTCTACATTTTAGTAGGATTTCTAAGTGATTCATATGCAGAGTGAAGTTTGAGAAACACTGCTCTGACCACCTTCTCACTTGCTTAGAGGGATATTTAAGTCATAGTAGACTTGATTTAGGGAGTAATGTGATAAAAATTGTGATTTATGAAGATCAGTCTGGTGTTTTTGATGGATTGAAATGAAGCAGTCCTAAAGTCCTAATCCCTCAGCCCTGAGGCCATGAAGGCTTGAAAGTAATTTTCTGATTTCTGCCACTTGAGGGAAGAAGGGAGCTATTACAAAGGAATAACTCTCAAAACTTTGTAATGTATTGGCTATAAGAAACAAGAGGTTTGAGCATAAACAGAATTTGAACCTTGGTGATTGAGGAAGTTATGTTCCTATTAATTCCAGTGGGCATGTCTGAATGAAAACGAGGTGTTGGGAGTGGGAGGCAAAGATAATGAGATTAACATTTGCTTTATTGAGTTTGAAGATATATGGGCAAAAAATACCAGGCAGGTAGTTAGAAACTGTGGAGTCAAGCCTTGTTTCAAAGTTGAAGAAAGTTAGGGATCATCTAGATGGTAGTTTCTAAGATAAAAGTTTCTAAGGGAGATGCAAACAGTAACTGAAGGCCCAGGTCCCAGAATTTATTAGGGCAGAGATTAGAAGAATAAGAGATGAAGAGCTCAGACAGAGCTTTGAGAAAAACTCTGTCAAAGTAATACTACTTATATCAGGAGAAGATAAAATTTTTAAGATTACTTTAGCAGGTTTTTTTCCTCAGTGAGAATTAAGCCTTATTGAATGAACATGATTTAAATAACCTTTTTTTTTTTTCAGTTTTCCTAAGAATGGTGCACAGCTAGTATTCTAAATGTATAGCATACAAGGCAATTCATTACTTAGAATAGATCCCTGAAGGCATTAGTACTTAATTCTTTTAGAACTGAATGTGAAGAGCTGTGTCAAAGTTTCAAATTCTACCAAATTAGTGAAAGAGAATGGCAAACAAAAATAGTAAGCCTGTAGATTACGTGGTAACATTAGAGTGTCAGTGGAATGGTGGTAATAGAAATCAAATTAAGGGAATGTGACATAACAAGAAAGCTTTGAGAAAATTTAACAACAAATGCCCCAAGCAGAACAGTTGTTTCCCAATTGGTTACTTCACTTGGTGGGATATTATATAGTTGTTAAAATTATGTTTAAGAGGAGGGTTGCTGCTTGAGGAAAACAAAAAATTGTAGGTATGCCATGATTATTACATCCATATAGAAACTGGTAAGAGAAGATGGTAATAACTGCATTAGGATATTGTAGTTGTGGATAATTTTTCTGTGTGTGTTCTCAATTTTTAGAAATACTGCTTTTGCCATTAAAAAATAGACTTCCATTGCTATGTATGATGGAATAACAGGGACTGGATTTTCCCTTTTTTTAAGAACAAGAAAGCAGGCAAATAAAAAACGTTTTTAGTCATTGGACAATAGGCAGTGTAGAATTATCCTTGAAAAAAGGACGCCAAAGTTCTTGCTTCCTCCTGAGGAAGTTTCCAGGCTACCACTCAGTGACAAGGATTGAAGTGGAGAATGATGGTCTCAGGAAGTAAAAGAGACACACTGGAATTCAGGGAGGATAAGTGATTAGGATTTGTGGAGCAAAATACTTTCCAGCAGAATACTGGAAATCAGAGAGTGAGTGTGTGCTTTAGACATCTACAGAAGGGCGCTCTGAAGTCTTTGGGTTAGAACTGCTCTGTGTCCATGGGAGAGGAAACTTTTGAGGTTGGGGAAAGAACCAGGAGAAAGTAGTAGATCTATCCAACAATCACACAGGGCAGGGAAAACCATGTTCCCTCCATTCAGAGTATGTAGAGAACTGGTAGCAAAGAGGAACCAGCAGCAAAACTGCTAGACAAGGAAGGGGACAGAGAAACTAAAACATTGAACTATATGAGGAAAGTAACTTTAGAAAGCCAGTCAAGTCTATAACCAGGAGATTGATTTTCTTTAGAAAAAACAGATACTGTAACTTAAAATTGACTTTAAAACAAATTTTTAGGTTCCTCAAAGATAAAAGCTTCTATTAATGATGGCATAATTTATTCAGACCAACTCTTCCATAGGGGTAAAATATACCATTGAAAGCTTCAAAGAAGTAAGAACATAGTGAGAAATACAAGTAGATCAAAATCTAGACGAAGGTGAAAATAGAAATAAGCCTTGCACTGAAGGTTGCATTCATCCTGGAGACTTGATAATTCAGAAGAAACACCTGACAATGCTAAGCTACAATCGTGAGCTCCTTGAGAAGAGAGACATAAATTTGTAAATGTAGTTCTACTCAAGATGGGATGTCTAATAACCCTTCTCTTATTCACCTGGTATCCAAAGGCTTACATTTTCAGAATAGTAGAAAACTAGAAGTAAACCAGCCTACTTATAGACTTATAGGTTTATAATGACCTGAGCGATTTGATCCTAAATTCAGGAGATCCTGGCCTGATAAGTGATTTCAAGAGTTTGACAGAAGAAAACTCAGATATTTTCTGGAGGAACAGTTCCTTTATTCTAGACCTCAGATTATTTCTACCTTAATTATCCAAACAGGCATTATAGTAGTCTCTTTGAATAGGCAGGTAGGTATACAAGTAAAGAAGATCCCACAAGCAGCAGCTTACACAAATAAGACAAAAGAAACTGACCTGCAAAGTTATAGGATGTTGGAATTATCAGACAGAGACTATTAAACAGTATTGTTTAACATTTGAAGAGATAAGTCAATCTATAAAAGTTCTGCAGAGAACAAGAAAAATCACATAGTAATTGGCCTTGAAGTAGAGAAGTCATTTTTAGTGTATAAAAGCAGTTAACCATAAAAGGGAAATTAAAGACTGATAAGTTTTAGTACATTTGAATTAAAAACTTCTGCTCATTAAAACATGCCATAGGGCAAAAAGACAAGCTTTAAATTGGTAGAGGATATTTTTACCACATATAACCAAAAAAGGACTCTCCTTCCAAATCAATAAGAAAAAGCAATTGGCTTTAATAGACATTTTGCAGAAGAAGGAATTCCAAATGGACTGTAAACGTGGAAAGACCTTTAACATCATTCATAATAGGAGAAGTTAAACAATACAGTCTCAGTGATCTGCCCTTATATACATACAAGAGGGACAGACATTGAGAAGTCAGGCAATATCAAGTGTGATGAGTCGCTAGACCAATAGGAGCTCTAGGATTGGGAGTAAATTGGCACTTTGGAAATCTTCTTGACATTATCTGGTAAAGTTGAAAATAAAAATCGTAGTAGCAATTTCACTACAAAGGACAAACTAGAAAAACACCTGCACAAATAAACAAAGATACATGAATGAGAATTCATGTTTCTTATAAAATTGTTTATACTAAACAGGAAATAGCACCAGTGTCCAATGGTAAATAAACAGTACAATAATTAAAATTAATATCTCTTGAGTAAATTATGAAACAAAAATAGGTAGATACAAATCAAGAAAGATGGTATTGAAAGAACTAGTTGAAAATTTGGGAAATGAATAAAATAATTGAGATATAAAAATATACAGATATAAAAATATACAGAGAAACTATAAGCTTGAGATAAATAATTCATGAGGTGAGACTAAGGAATTTTTGCAGAAAGAAGCACATGAAATTTGCTGGAAAATGTGAAGAGATAGCTAGGATATATGAAAGTAGATTGAAAGGGTCTAAACATTAAGGTTACTTTCACCTGCTGAAGAGCTTTCTTATATTAGAAAAAGGTAATGGGATACACATTCTAGTAGATGTAAGTATTATTGACATTACATTTTAACAGTATAGGTTCCATACTGGTAACCTAATTTATATTTTCTGTAAACATTTTGCTGCAAAATGAAGCACTGTGTCTTAAAACTATATCTTTTCCTCTTTCAAAGTAATACTTTATCTCATAATGAAAATTATGGTACTAATTTACAGGAATTTTTCATATACTAACTTTGGGGAGTACTCATCAGTCCCTGTAAAGAAAAATATATTTCTTCTAGGGAGAATGGTCTTCGAGGTTTTCAAGTCTTACTGAACTTCTTGTTTGTCTTGGCTCATGATGTTCTTCTTTCTTCTCTTCTTCCAAGAATCCAGCGGGTGTTGGCATTACTTAAAAGTGTGTGTGTGTAGTTTTTATATGCATTTGCCCCTAAGTTTATGAAATATGGCTAGTTAGGGCTTGGAAAGGTGTAATATGTTATTTTTTGAAATGTAACTAATTATTTTTTAAAATTTAAACAGTTGAACCCACTGTGAGCCTGATTAAAGGGCCAGATTCTTTAATTGATGGAGGAAATGAAACGGTAGCAGCCATCTGTATCGCAGCCACGGGGAAACCAGTTGCACATATTGACTGGGAAGGTGATCTTGGTGAAATGGAATCCACTACAACTTCTTTTCCAAATGAAACCGCAACAATTGTCAGCCAGTACAAGGTGTTTCCAACCAGATTTGCTAGAGGAAGGCGGATTACTTGTGTTGTAAAACATCCAGCCTTGGAAAAGGACATCCGATATTCTTTCATATTAGATATACAGTGTAAGTAAATGATAACATTTGCTTTTTAAACATATGCATTTTAATTTTCTTCCTTCGACATAATTCTGTGTCCAACTTGTTAGTTTGAATATTTAGTATTCGTATATTCTTACAGCTTTTCCTTGTTGACATTTTCTTTCTTAATTTTTAAAAATATCTTCATGGAAATTTCATTTAACTGAAATATTTTTTATTTGTAAAGAATGGATAGTGACTTTAAAGTTGCTCTCCAACTTAAAATTATTTAGACTTACTCTTTTTTAGACCTTGAAAATAGGCTGGACGATTGTGGAAATTTATACCTCAAAATGTGCAATACTTAGAGACAAACAACTACTTTTCCAGTTTGATTAATTTAGCTATGATTCAGTTCTATTGATGCTATCCATGATGTTTTCAGTAAGAATTTTTTACTGCTTAGATGCATTTTAGTTTGAAAATAATTGTTTTTCCAGTGCTGTTTTTCATCTGATTTTATTGATCACGTTGTAAGATTCTCATATTGTAAGACAATATTTTAAAGACATCGTTAGGATAATAACCATTGTAGATAAGGTTCAAAGCTTCGCCCATCTCCTATTTCTATTTTTTGTTAGGGATGCTCCATTGTATATAAAGTTTGTATGTATATATGTATGTGTGTATACTTTTTTCCTGTACATTATCTCAGTTGTTGCTATGTTGTTTGTGTAGCATTTACAGTTTTTGAGAAAGAAAAAGTGATACTGCTTATAACAAGGATATGAAAATTAATAGGTTTTTAAAGGAGATATTATAGTTTTTGTTATTCATGTTATATGTTTTGGTAGGACATACATGGAATTTTAAATTGCATGTATTCGTTACACTTGGTATAATGGTTTCTAAAGCTAATTCTAAGAATCTTTTTCAACATCTATAGGGTTGAATTTGGGAAGTTATCTTACATGAATGTTATTGCCATTTTATCCTTGAGTGTGGATACCTTCTTTACACTTCTCTGGAGAATCCAATTAAAATGTCTCTTTTTCCTTTTCCTACCTTACTTTCACAGACTCTTAACTTTTTCCTTTTTCTTGTAAAATTCAGATCCCAATTGTAAGTACTATTAATCTTTTCCTCATATATATATTGTCCTTCCTTATATCTCATGACTGAAATTTTCAATTTGTATTATGTACATTATGCTTTTTTGGTTGTTTACTTGAATGCAATCCTTAATGTATACAATATTTCTTTTAATATAAGACTTACATAATTATGGCTTAGATTTATTGGCTTGCTCCTAAAGTGTTCTTAGAGTAATCATGATTTTTTTCCTCTTTTTAATCGGGACCTATAAAACATGTAAACAACATTTAAGGAGATAAACTCTTATATCCAAAATTCAGATCTCAAAATTTGGAGGTATTCTTTGGGATGCCTTACCTTTTAGTACCCTCCTTCTATTAAAAGAAATTAGACTCACAGATTACTGTTGTTTCAGCAACATTTTTAGTACCAATTGTGTGTTACAAAAATGTTAATTCTTGGTATTTATGAGGCAGTCATTTCTTAAAATTACAAGGTAATTATACCTTAGGAAAAGTTTAATTTTTTACACTTTTTTTTTTTTTTAATTTTTGTAAACCTTGCTTGACAACAGATCAAGCTTCCCTGACAGAATTAAACAGATCTGGTCTTACTAACTTCCCCATCTGGTCATGTACTATTTACCTAGTTTATTCTGTAACTCATCTTTAAGCCTTTATGACCTTCCTCAGCCTCACCCCCAGTCTAAATTAGGCCCTTCTTATCTGCTCTATATCATCCTATTCTTTTCCTTCTTGGCTTTCATAACAAGTTTTAGCTTTTAAGATTTTCTCTTCCTTATTAAAAACTATTAGAAAATAAATTTTATGAATACAGAGTTTGTATGTATACCAAATGCCTAAAACAATGCCTGCCATTTACTAGGAGTTAAACAATATGATGGTTGAATGAATGATTTGTATTGGATTGTATAGTTTGAAGGCATAAATTTCTATTGCTTGTAGAAAGGGATAATTGCTTATTTAACTAATTATATTGTGATTTACCAAAAGATGTTTGGGTGCATTGATGGATGAAATTTCATGTTTTACGACAGTTGAGACCACAGATAATTTAACTTTAATTGTAATTATATCCATAAAAAGTTTGTGTCACATCTCTACTTACCCGTAGACTATTAATTATAACACAGGAAATCTGATCTCTGTAATTGACTTTGTATCTTTTAGGGGGTATTTTCTTTCAGATTAAACTTTTTTTTTAAAGATAGTTTTATATGGCGACTTTGGTATAAGTACCAATGCCACATCTTACCAAATTAAGTAATATAATGTATTTCCACTGTTCATAAGTTTACATTTTTCATAATGGGACTCATACTTTGTTCTTGGTGATGTAGGTTTGTGAATATCCTTACATTCAGTGTTCATAATAACTAGAACTGTACATGATTATAGTTGTCTGGTGTGTGGGTACTCATTGTCCATTCATGCACTCATTCTTTCGGTCAACTAATATTTATTGACTACTGTCTTCCACACTGGTTATGTGTTTTGACAGGAGGAAAAATGATTTCTATTCTTCTGAAGTTTAGTCGTCATGTTAATGCTTTGTCATTATATATTGCATTAATCATTAGCAAAGGGTAATTTGTACTTTTATGCATTTATTTTATAGATGCTCCAGAGGTTTCAGTAACAGGCTATGATGGGAATTGGTTTGTAGGAAGAAAAGGTGTTAATCTCAAGTGTAATGCTGATGCAAATCCACCACCCTTCAAATCTGTGTGGAGCAGGTAATAATGTCAGATACTTCTAAAGATAAATTATTTAAAAGTGAAAATTATTCTTAAATACATAATTATTTTTAATCAGTGTAATACATGATGATCGTAATGGCTGAAAGTTAAATTAAGGATGAGTGTTCTCCTGTCCCACCTCTTCCCTACCTACCTACCACTGCAGTTTTGTTAAGAGACTAGTTTTTAGCCATTTTAGCAATTCCTCTGGTAGTTAACCATCATTGGTCTTAAATTGTTACTTCTTAATACTATAATGTTGACTTCTTACTATAACAGATGAAAATTCAATTTTATATCTACCCCTTCAAACACAAACATACCGATATACATATTCCAACCATAATAAGTCCTAATGAAATTAAGCCACTTTTAGTTAAACTCTATAATCAATGTCTCCCTATGACACATAAATATTATTTATTGACAGTATAGTATACTAGAATTGTTTTATTTTGTCTAAAATCTTTGTTTTCCTTAGGCTAATAATTCTTAGTCTCAAAGAATATCCTTAATTCTCTTTATCTGTGAAATTTCAAACTGTTATACTAAGGTTTTCATTTATATTTTTCAGTATTTGGGGCTCCCCTTTAGTCTTGAGACCTGAATCTTTCAACTGTGTATGGTTTTTATTCATTTTTTTTGACCATTTCCCCTTCTTTTTTAAATTTGCTTCTACTAGACCTTTCTTATTGTTCAGTTTTTTTGTTCTACCTAGGAAATTTCCTTCACTTTTTCCCCCCATTGACTTAATTGATTTAAAACATTTTGGAGGCATATTTTTTTTCATTTTTTTTAAAAGATTTATTAGAGATGGAAGGCAGAGGGAGAGGGGGAGAGAGAGAGGGAAGGGAGAGGGGGAGAGAGAATACTCATGTACACGCCTGCAGAGTGGAGAGCCCTGGTCCCAGGACACCGAGATCATGACGTGAGTCAAAATCAAGAGTTGACACACTTAATGATTGAGCTACCCAGGCACCCCCACATTTTTTATTTCTAGGAGCATTTTCTTATTTCTCTTTCATTTTATGGCATTTTTTTCTTATTTTATGGCTGTAGTGTCTTGCTTCTTCCTAGAGGCACCTTACTAAAGTTTATTTCCTCTTCAGAGAGTTTTTACTGCTTCTTATTGTCTCCTTTTCTTCAAGTTCTTTTGTTTTTTGTTTGGTTTTTAATTTTGTAGATAGTCCTTCATTTTCTCAGTTGTCCAATCATTTCACAGTGATGCATTAAAAGAAAATAAAATCCTCACTGGAAATTCTGTCTTTGTAGTGGGGATTACTCATTAATAGATTCCATTTAGAGTGATCAGTTAGAGTTATTTCCCTGGGGAAGCTTCAGATGTCACTCAGGAAGAGTGAAAGTCTTTTTTTGTGGCCATGCAGTTTATTTATTAACCTTCATCCTTCTTTCTAAAACATAAATGCCTAGTATCTTGTACGGAGTTGAAAGGAGTCTGTTTTTTCAACTTTCAGCTGATGTCCATAATTCTAGCCCTTTGCTTCACTCCAGCTTTCTGTAGTAGTACAGTGACTCTAAATCTTGGGTTCCTTGGACCAAAGTCGTATACAGCTTGGAAGCACTTCTTTAGCTCAAAATGGAGCTTCTCATCCTTGGCGCTGTTGACATTTTGAGCTGGATAAATCTTTGTTGTGGGAAGCAATCCTGTGAATTGCAGGATGTTTAACAGCCTCCTTGGCCTCATACCCACCTCCCCATTGTGAAAATCAAAAATGTCTCCAGACTTGTCAGTTGTCCCCTGCAGACAAAATCATTCTTGATGGAGAAACAGTGACTTAAAGCGTATATTGTTTTTTCCATTGGTTTTCTGTCTTCTAAAAGTTTGTTGAAATGTCTTGTCTGATGAATTCTGCGTCCTGTTCTCTTGATCCTTGTGGCTTTTTAATAGCTTTTAATTCCTTTACTCTTGTTTTATTTGGGATATTGTGGGAACAAGGAAACAGTATATTAGGTCAATCTATTGACCTAATTTTAAAGTTTATAAAGTAGAGAAAGTTTTTTTCATTTACATTTTCTGAAAAGTGGAAAGAAGTCATTGGTTATGATGTATGGTAGATTATTTCTAAAAGTCATACAATTCTGAGTTCCCTTCCTTGTATTTGTACTTGGAGATGCCTTTTTGAGTAAGACATCTAACCTCTCTAATTCGTTGTTTCTTCACTGATAATAGTACATCATAGAGTTGTGAGGGTAGAGACAATGAATATAAACAAAGTTAACATAGGTAAAATAGTATAGAAGGTGCTTTGCATGTCATTTGGTGTGAGTTTAATGTGATGGATTTTTCTGACCATGGCTTATTTGAATAAGCAACTTTAAGGGATTATAAGCCATTTTTATATTTCTCACAATTAAAGAAAATAGAATTTGGGCATCAAGGTGCAGAGAGATAATTGGTATTTCTATATACTCTGTATTTACTCTCATCCTCCTAGAAGTTCACCTTTTGAAAACTGATGCTTGTACAAATGTTCTTTTCAGAGTTCTTGAAGAAGGTTGAGTGTTTTTGTTTTTTTAAACCATGTAAGAATATTGCCTTTTTTCTCCAATGCTAAATTAAAGTTCCTGCACTGTAAAAGATTTTATTGACTGTTCTTCTACCTACTACCATTGGATTTGCAGAACAGCATCATTCCTCATATTGTCCACTGTTCGTTCTGTTTCCTTCTACCTTCTTCTTATTTTTTGTTCTTATTCTCTTTGTAATTACTTGTCAGTCTTCTGTGTATTTAGATCATTTATAGCAAGGACCAAATCTTATTTACTTCTGTATCTCAGCAAACCAGCAGAGCAGAGTATGGTTAATATTAAGCTCCTAGTAATTAAATAATGGATGGCTGAGTGAATGAATAAATGAACCTTTTGAAAATCTGCTTAGCTCAGACCATAATATTTGAGTGGTTTACTTGACTTTTTGTCCTCTTAAAAAATAACTCATGGGCTTTAGAAAAAAATTCAAAATAAATACATCTTGGTGTGCTTTTTGGTACCCTAAGGTTGCCAGTATGAAATATAACAGTATACTTAGTTCCATTGCAATGAATGGCTTTAGAATTGTCATAGGCTTTTATTCCTGTTGTGGTTTATAGTAATGTATACACTAGATAGGACCTCTTAGCCAAGTTAGTATAGACACCATTTTAAAAAAAGTTATTGATGCCAAATGGTACCTTGGTTTTTACTGTCACAGATGCCCACCTTACAAATGAGATGATTTTATATGAAGACCCTTTTTTGATGCTTTAGAAACTAATTGTCTTTGAATGGGGCACAGTATAGATTTTCTCAGTGTGAATTGGCGCTCTTTAAATATGCTGCAAAAGGTGCCAAGACATTATCATGTACTTAAATGAGATGGCTTTTCAGTAAGAAATTTATACGTATATTATGAATTCACTGATGTACTGAGAATTATTTTTAATTCTTCTGAAACTGCATGTCTTCAGATAATACATTTTTCTAATTTTCCAGTTTTCTGAATGTAATTCTTTAAAATCACATAATTTTTTTTCTTTCCTTGCCTTCCATTCTAATATGTTGGCCTACTTGGCACTTATGTCAGTTGGTATTTTGAAAGAATGGGTATTCTTTTTTTGAAAGAATGGATATTCTTAATGGATTTTATCAGTTTATTTTTATTGAAGTGAAAATTTGTATCTTATACTTCCATTTCACAGTGAATTTTACCTAAAAAATGCCAGTTCTTTCACTAACATCTTAAAAGTGTACGTCTTGTGTAAATAGCTGTCAGTGAATAAAGTCTGAAGATATTTAAAATAATTTCATCCTTTTTAAAATCTAGGTTGGATGGACAGTGGCCTGATGGTTTATTGGCTTCAGACAATACTCTTCATTTTGTCTATCCATTGACTTTCAATTATTCTGGTGTTTATGTCTGTAAAGTGACCAATTCTCTTGGTCAAAGAAGTGATCAAAAGGTCATCTACATTTCAGGTAAGTTACTGTCTACTCCCAAAATGAGTTACTGAAATTATTCCACTAATTGTAATCATAACAACACTGTATTCTCGCCAGTGATTTATATTTGCTAACGTACAGATTCCTCAGTGTGAGTTTTTCCAAATAATCTAAGAGATGTGATAAAGTAACCCTACCCAAGATACATATGTAAATTGGCACTACTTAAAGAAATGTCAAATGTCTATGCAGCAAGCTTATATACATTTTAAGACCTTTGCATATGTTAACATTTCAGTTCCATAGTATTAAGTATTCCTTTCATAGGTTGTATGTACTTTTCTAGGCTCTTTGATTTTTATACTGAGAACAAATACTGAGTTTGTGTGTTATTTTGGTGGCTACTGTGAACACAGGTGTCTCATAAAATGGGCTATTGACTTTGATGACCTGACTTATTAAATAACATAGTTTGTTACTTAGTATGGAACTATATCATATTGGGTTACTGAGAGTGAAGTAAGAGTGCTACTGAAAATGTTGTAATGAAATAAAATTTAAGATGTTTCTTATTGTCAGTCCTTAAGCCACTAAGAGCTTAGATTTTTCACATTCCGTTGGTTTTGCTCTGAATGTTTTTATTAATTTGATTGAGTATATAAATTCGGGTACTCACAAAATAAAGTTAGAGCTAAAAATACATTTTTTTTCATGGGTATGGCTATAAGTTATCAGTATAATGCTCATTTATAAAAATTATATAAAAATATTGTGAGCACCTAGTTAGTGACTGCAAGAATATAGAAATCCTCATGTCTAAACAATGGAAAATTAAAGGAAAAAGGAAGAGAACCTTGAGAAAAGCAGGTTTGTATGGCAATTATGTAATTATGAAAACTGAATAGTTAGATTTTTAGAGAAATTTTAAGCTTGCTTTAATGTTCTATTTTCTGTCTTCGTATGATCAATCTAAAAACAGTCCCCCTTATTATATTCTCATGGCATTTCCCACAATTTGTAGTTGTATACTTGCTTGTGTACATATTATCTATCCATCCTCATATTTAATCAATTTGTATTTGCTTCATTTACCACCGAATACTCAGCACTTAGTGCCTGGCATATGACAGGGGTGATGCAAATATATTTTTGCATGCATCTCACAAGAAGCTTAGAGCTGTGTACAGCCCTAGCTAGCCCTTTATACCTGTAGCAGTGCTTTGGTAGAAATCAGAATGAGATTAAATATTAGTTTATTTGTCTTCCTTCTTCCTTTAAAGATTTTTCTCTCTTTCTTTTTAAGGATCTTAAAGCCACAGGAAATGCATATTTAAAACGTGGTTACCTAAGGACTACTTACTGTGTTTCTATGATACAGAATTTAGTGTGGGATATTACTTGTAAATCTCAGGCTCAGTTTGTAATTATGTAGTCATTTAAATATTGAGGCTCAATTTGGACATTATTATATATACTGATTCTGTTGATGATACCCTAAATTTATTATATCTTTTGGCATTTTGGATCCATTTCCCAGTATTTTTGATGTATGTGTCCAACTGCCTATTAAAATCACTAACTCTTTGTAGAAGTATAAATAGGCATTTATAGCTTAACATTCAAAACTGAGGTCCTGATCTTTCTTCTGCTACTTGCCACCAAACCTCTTCCTCCATCAGTTTCCCTCCTTTCTGCCATTGGCAACTCCATCCTTAGTTTTGCTCAGGGTTTCATCCTTGATGCTTATTCTTGATTTCAGTTGTTCTCTCATACCCCATCCAGTCCATCATCAAATCCATGGCAGCTCCTCCATTATGATATATGTAGAAGCTTTCTAGTTTTCCACTTGTATAGTGAGTATTCTGACCCAAGCCATCAGCAACCCTTACTTCATTATTAACATAGCCATTTAATTTCTGTACTTTAATTTATTCTTAAAACAGCAGCCAGATTGATCATTATAAAAGGCATGTCAGATCATGTCACTTCTTTCCTGCAAACCTTTCACAAACTTCTCATTTGACCCACAGTGAAAACCAGATCTTACAATGACTTACAAGGATCTGTACATGCTTTGATCCTAGATTTTCTCTCTGACCTCATCTCTTACATCCCTTACGCACTTGGCCTTGTTCCTGGCCTCCTTGCTGTTCTTTGAACACAACAGGAACTTTGGTACCTTAAGAGTCTTTGACTTGCTTCTCCAGCTGGAAAGCTCTTCAGGTATCCTTATAGCTCTTTCCCTCACTTCTTTAGGTGTTTGCTCAAGTATCACCTTCATGACTATAAATAAAATTGAAACCTCTTTTACCCCTTTACTCCTCCTCTGCCTTATTTTTCTCTATGGTATTTACTGCCACATAATATCTACATATTTTATTTATATGCTTTTCTGTTTTTACTTCCACTAGAAATAAGTCCTTTCGTCTGTTTTACTCACTACTGTATTTCCACCATCTGCAGTAATATTTGGCATGTGATAGGTGTTCAGTAAACTTTCCTTGCATGAATGAAAAAATTTGTTTGAAAAGAAAACAAGAAAGAAAAATCCAGAATGTGCTTTTATATAGCTTTATTTTGTTTGACAAGGTTAATAACATACACTGATGATAAACTTCACACATTTTTGGTCAACCTCTACTAAGTCCTAAAAGAGGGGAAATAAAATTTTAAGTAAATAAGAAAAATCAATTAGTTGCTGCTAAGTACTTTAGAAAACATTTTATGAGATGATTTTAAGTATTAGACTTTACCTTTCTATCCAGTCTTTAATATAGTACACTATGTTGAGCGTAGTTAACTCCTCTGAGAGCTTCTTGGAGGATATTAAATATCCTAGATATAATACTGCCTGTCCATAATGACTAGTAAATCCTAATAGGCTTTTATCAGAATAAAAGGCCATAATTCACAAAGAGTAAACAATTAAGCTGTTGACCTTTTTTTTTTTTATTAAAAGTTATATGTACCCTTTTTCCTCTAGAAAAAAAATTTTAATTCAGTATTAAAGTTGATATTCAAAAATTTATGAAATGATTTAAAAATATTTCTAAAATGAATGTATCTTATGCCTGGAGACTAAAATATCTCAGAACAGAGTAGAGTTAGCAGCTCTGAGGGGAAATTGTAATTTTATTCTACCCTTTTTTCACATTGGTAAGTGTAAGATTTGGGGCAATAGGTGATTGATCCAAGATTGCAACATTCAACCTCAATTACTACTTGTGGAGTTACAGTGAATCTTTGTCCAATACTAAATGACTGCTGCAAATTGTGTTTTTCTGCTTGTTTTGGTATGTTTTTCCCTGATATTTGTACTTTTCTTAGAGAATAGAGAAATTTTTGAGTCACGTAACTTCCCCCATGCCTAAAACTCAAACTGTATCCTATGCAAATCTTGAATTTTGAATCCTATTGATTTTAGGAATTAGGTGCACTATCTGGCATAAGAATCCAAATATAATCAGTATTCTTTAAAATTCATAGATTTTGTTTATTTAAACAACTCCTATAAGTCTAAGAGAAGAAAATCGATTTATTTTTTTAATATAGTAGTTATTAGGCTAAAATATCTTTTATAGCTACAAAAGCCTTACTGAACTATTTGTTTTCCTGTTTGGCAGAACTCATTACTTTGGGGGGGGGGTAAAAATAAAACTTCTTCATTTGATTGTCGAGAACTCATAGTCTCGACTAGTTCATTACATTAATAAAATATTCGTTTGTCACACATTCTGCAAAAAATATCAAAAAATACTGTCTGAAGAAATAAGGAATGCTGTGAGGAAGGATTTTAAATTATGAGAAATAAGTAGCTATTAGTGATTACAAAATAATCTGTTTGATTCCTTACACAAATTCTAATTCTCAGTGTAATTATCTTGGAGCAGGGCAGGAATGAGAAAACATGAACAAATGTCTTGTTCGTTGTCCTATGTCCATTGCTTAAAATACAAAATAATTAAATATTAACAGTAATCCCTCTTCAGTGGAATCAGTGGGGCAATGATATCTTTATTTGGTTGAGGAGGGGTTGGCAGGTTAAAAAATTTCTAGAACCACTGACAAAATTTTATTTTATTTTTATTTTTTTATTTTTATTTTTCACTGACAAAATTTTAAAGTAGGGTTTGTTTTTTGGTTGCTCTTTTTTTCAGTTAGGGTCTTTGAAAGCTGTATTTTGTTATATCTGAGTTAATTAGTGGCCATGAATCTGTGTTTACATAAAGAACATTGCAAGTAGAAATAAGAAATACCAGTGAATCTTTTTTTTTTTTTTCAAGAGATACTTAGTAAAAAAATGAGTTACATATCTTGGTGAGAGTTCAGGTACATGATTATTCTGAGAAAAACATCATTTCATTAAGAACTATCAAAAGTTTAAAAATCTTAACATGCACAAAAATGTGTGAATTACAAATAATTAGGTGATTTGTGCTTCTGTTTAAACATGTTGATACCAGTTTATTGTAATATTTTTTTTCTTTGGAAATCATTGTAAAGATGACATTTAGTATTTGAAAACTTGACTTACCCATTTTCCTACCACCTCAGAAAATACATGAATTGTCTTGCAGATGATTAATTTTTCATTTATTTCTTTAATATCCTGGTTCTCTGGAGTTGCATTATATGATAGGCTTTACTACTTTTATACTAGAAATGATCCTACAGTTCCACAATTTTTTTTAAGATTGAATTTATTCAACTAGTGAATAATATGTTCTTACAAATTAAAACTCTTCCTTGAGTCACTTACATATAATATGATAACTAATATTCACTTCAAAGTACTTGGCAGGATTGCCTGTTATATTGGTTTAAACTCATAGGAAATTAGTTATGCTGTACTTGTTAATTTTATATTGTACTTGCTAAATTTTTACCACATTCTGTACATATGGCATTCCGTGATGAAACCTGTTTCAGTAAGTATTTTTCTTTAGCTTGTAATTTTAGAATAACTTACCCCATGTAGATTTAGTATTTTTCTAACAATCATTTTTTAAAATCTCTCAGTACCACTCATTTAAAAA